GATTATTGGCTCGCCTGAGTTACTCCAGTACCAGAGAGAGCGCACTGTATCGACTAAAGCTACGTACCCTATGATTAAAGCCGTCCCCCCCCCTCACTAAACTAGATTCGTATCTGCTTAGTGATCAGTAACACTGGCAGCAAGCCAATAAAGCGTGTTTGAAGCGATGTCTGTCAGCTGAATCGAATACATTTCTTTCTTCGTTTATTTCTGTGTTAAATCGCTGTTTGTTGCACAATGTTGAGACGAACTGGAAGTTTATCCTATCTTTTTCAAGATATTTATTGAAATATATTTAAACTGAATTACTTCAACATGCCTTGAGTAATCATTATTTGTTGTCCGCAGTTGGGTCTTCCAGGTAAATTATGTAGAACTGTTTGTCATTTGAACTATTTTAAAGAGCAACGGTGCAGCGTAGTGCCCGCCAACTCCCAGTTAAGCGATCAGCAGACCATTTAACAGCATTGCACCCACTGGTCTGAGTTTTTTCCATTCATTTGTTTATAGTAGCTTAACGAGTTTCAAAAGCAAAAACTAGACTGCGTAATTTATTACATCGTTTCTGTTCGTTTCCTCATTTAACTCTGTTCAAACTTGAATGCTATGTTAGGCTTAGGGATGTTTTAGCAGTTGTATTTGTCTCATAAACTTCCTTTTATTTTTAGTTAGCCCATCCAATATTGGATTCTCTGCAGAATACTACGGAGAGCTGGCTGGTCGACTTTTTGTTTGCATTCAATAGGGGTGATATTCAGCGTTTTGAACTTTTACGTCCTTCGTGGTCCAAGCAAGACGACTTGCGTAATAACACAGTGTTGCTAGAAAGAAAGATTCGGCTTCTCTGTTTGCTGGAGCTAGCGTTTGCTAGGCCACCGACTGACCGTAAGATTTCTTTCGAAGAAATCCGACGCGTATGTCGAGTGGATATGAAAGAAGTATTTCCATACAGCCTATCTGAAGTTATAATTTTTGTTTTTTTTCTCTTTTCAGGTCGAACATCTATTTATGAAAGCTCTCTCTAAGGGTCTAATCAAAGGTTACATAGACGAAGTTGAGCGCTCAGGGTACGTGTCGTGGGTTCAGCCACGTGTTCTCGATCGACAGCAGATTGAGAAGATGTCGTCCAAAATTAGTCAGTGGTGCAAGGACGTGGAAAATGTTGGTCACTTCATCGAAAATCGCGCTCAAGAGATTTTAATTCAGTGATCAATTGAGTTTCTCAGTGTTTGTTACTTGTATTCTGACAAAATTCGTACGCTTCGTTTTTTAATTTTTTTATTTCTGTAAATGATCTTTTTTTCCAGCAAAATCTTCATTACTCTCTGCCAGTAGAGGTGTTCCATTTCTTTTTGTAGCGAATGTACACTGAATTTTTCAGTCAAGTGTATTTCATTACTGGCTCAGGTATCAGTATATATGCGTTCTTTATCGTGCTTGTCGTATGTCATCAATAAAAGCACTGGAACCTATGGTATGCGGCTGAAAACTTTGCGGCATTTTTCCTCGTTACTGATATATTTGGCAGCTGATGAAGTTGCTACACCACATCAATAAGTTCGTTGTCTGTTCAAGATAAGAATTGGAGTAGGCGCAATAATACGAGAATATTTCTCACATTGCTCTCTAGAACCTGAAAAATGGTGCTCCATACTTCGAGGGTGAAATGGGAGGATCGCATAAGGAATTGCTATTTTCTTCCGGGGACAGGATACCCTATTAGATGTGATGATTAAAAAAGGAAATTGACTCCGTTACAGAAACCGAACATAAAATATTTACTCCAACAAGGAATTTCCAGTGTGGGAGTCGAATCGTTGTACGTGATACGAAAGAATAAGGTAAAAGTAGATCTGCGTTCGAAGAGCAGTTTCTCCATCTCTGAGGCAGTAACCGACATCGTACAGCAAAAATGTTAGAAGATTGAAAAATCGCGGATATTTCAAAACAGTGACGTTCACTTTTGTGATTATTCAAGATAATGATAAGGACAGCTATACAGTTTACTACTCTAGTTTTATCTTTGATAAACGAGCATGGGTGATGACGAGTGAGGGTCTCACCATACCGAACGATATTGGATTGACGTGCTGCGATAAGAAATTTTCTTTCGCTGTTAAATCCTTGTGGAAGCGTGAAGATGGACCAACCGGATAGTACCTTAAAATGCTGCTACGCAACTAGAGCTAATAATTATAGTGAATTGTTGCTGCACACTTAACGTTAGATCGCTCATCGTAGCTACGAAAGAAATTCCTGTTATCTGTCAATTTATATCTGGTTGATTATCATAGCTTCCTTTATCCAATTTCTTCGCGACCGTTGGATCCCTAACTTTCTGGCGATAACTGTTAAACACTGTTTCCATTGCAACGCTATTGAAACATTGTTGATATTTTTCGTTCTATAATACGATGCGGTCAAAGCTTTCTTAAAGGGTTCCTTCGACCATTACAAACTAAGCAACATTATGACTGCGTAGTCTATATTTAAATACTTACATGTGACAGGCATTATGTGCCTTCAACTGTTACATAATGCTTCTTCACTCCATATTGTCGTTGCAGTCACTCATACTAATCAAATTTCTATAAAATAAAATTTTATGCGTTTTTAAAATCGTTTGCTAGCCCTTGCTGCTGGATCAGCGATTGCCAGTTCATTGTGAATCGATCACCTGCCACTGTTGATTTGCTCTTTTTCTAAGAGATTTCTATTCCACCGACGAGAATTCTACTAAAAAGTTCAGTGAACGCTCAGCCGGTTAAATAAGGCGAATGATAAAGTTCGCCTCAAAAATATTGAACATTTTTCAGCTTCTGCTGATTCACGTAGCAGCTGCTCTCAAGGCGGTACTCTGTACTTATGACTCATGTCTACTGAACGAGTTCGCTGAAACTATGTCCTCTGAAAAAACTCTACTGTTGAACTGTGATAACTGAATACAATGTGCAAACATATTAATAGTAAGTTCAGTCTGAAAAACAGAGTGGCCGTGTCGTTAGGAACTACACTCGAAACCAACTATTGACGATGAAACCGATTTGCGGGAGGTTCTTCCTTCCATTAGTTTTGCCACACTCTAATAGAAGCACAAAACCAAAGTTTGCTACTCCAGGAATGAAAAGAGCGTACATGCTCTAAGACGTTAGTAATGTGAAAGTTTTCAAGTCATCAACTTCTCTTGTTTACTGCAGCTGTTGACCCGCTATGCTTTGATTTACTCATATTCGGATTCGTTTCCGTTGAAACTTCCTAGCTGAACTAACGAGCACATCAAAATGGAGCGTATTTCATTCCTTTGCTTCTGTCATTGCACCAACTTTACAACAGGCACTAGAGTCGCTTCAAACCATTGCTAGCAGAGAACAGTGGGAAGGGGACAGTTAATGCGCTGCTATCATCGACCTGTCAGCGAAAGAATTACGAGCGCACTTGCGGTAGTTAATCAGAATTCGTGATATTCGGTTTCGGCACATACATTGGCTCATCAGAATTTATGAAATTTGGTTTGGCACATGTGGTGGCTGATTAATAGTCATGAAATGCGGTTTGTAACATCTGAACGGCGTTGTGACGTTACGAAAATTCGAACAACACTATCATATTGTTGAACATGAGCTGATGAGCTCACTTCACCAAATTTATTAGAGCAATAATGTTCGTACATCAGCCTCGAGGTTCGACAGATTACTGCGACAACCTCACTAATGAAGATTAT